TGTCAGTGGGTTGTTGGTAGGGTGTCAGTGGGTTGTTGGTAGGGTGTCAGTGGGTTGTTGGTACTTTACCATGAGCATTCTTTAACGTACAAATATTACCATTTCTCTTGTCTTCATCCACATCACCATTAGGTTTGATTAGTTTGTCTTTGTCTTTAGTCTTCATTCCATGGCTTGTGTCTGTCCTTTTTTTAGCCTTAAATTAGTCAAGAATTAAGTATAATTAATGTTAACTGAACTAACTTTTAAATTTCATCACCTATTGCCATTTTGCAAAGAAATTGAAGCAGCATTCAGTAATTCCATGTTAAGAAGGTGCCAAAAGTACACAGCAAAAAGTCTTATAAGCCTMCTATATTAATATGTTACTGAATGAAGCACTTTTTTGGTCAATTGTTCCTAAGAAATACATTAATATTGCTTACCAGATAAGCTTGCTTTGTCCAATTCGTACAAGAAAGTAAGATGATATATAGAGAAGTCTGTAAATATAAAGTATAATATAATCATGTCTTTTTATTSATACAGGGTAGCCTATAAAGCTAGAAGCTTGTTGAGCTGCGTATCCTCCATACATACAGTCAATTCAAAAAATGTTGTCGTCGACCAACTCAAGCCTACGYGACTGGACCGAAAAGAACTCTGGGTAGTAAACATTGAAGCCGAGTTGACTCCATAATTTTATCTGACTAGTGATGCCTGGTTTACAGCACGAACCTTCGTAGGCGAGCGGGAAGTGTTGGAGGAGACRTTTTTTAAATGCCTTCATATATTCGAAATTGTGAACTGAATAATAAGTACTTTGTTTTTGTTTCCTTAAACCCAAAGACATGCATTTGATGGATTGTTTCTCGCCATTATTATCTTATTACTAGCGGGAACAATTTATTCAGAACGAATGTTTAAACCGCTTCATTGATTTTTACCCATATTCCTTTCGGTCCAGTCGCGTAGGCTTGAGCCGGTCGACGACAACGTTTTTTGAATTGACTGTATTCCTTACTACATTCAAATACTCTATACACTAGACTGTCAACCCTCATGTTRATTTTTATGGACAGAGGAAGACCAGAGAACCCGGAGAAAAACCCTCCAGGTACAGGAGAGAACTAATCAAACAAACTCAATTCACATGTGGCAAATTATGAATATTATTAAATCRCAATTAAATTGTTAACAGTGCAATGYGCAAAAGTATGACCAAATTCAAWGCATTCGCATACTTMTATGCACAGTTGTTTTTCTGCCAAATGAGTGCTTGCCTGCCTTATTTGGTAAAACCAGCCAGTTTCTCATTGAAATATGTCGGTTTTACATACAAGACCAGTGCATAGAAGTGCATAGGCCCATGTGAATATATTAAACGTTGTCWTACTTTTGTGTGCTGCACTGTTATTTCCCATACCTGCACAAGCAAGCCACCTGTCAGTCCCCACCACATTCCTGGTATAAAAAAACGTTAAATYAAACATCTGAAAAACCACCTCTTGGGTGGCTCAGTTGGTTAGGCACTGACAACCTGTGATGGAATCTAGCTGGAAGTTGTGGTTTCAAGCTGCAGCAAGACCAAAACTCAGGGTTGTAAATTATCTGAATATTTCACAGGCTAGACCGATTTTGTTCTGGCTTGGATGGCCATGTAAAATAGTGGTCCTGTCTTATTGAGCTGAGACATTAAACATAAAAGATTTCCAATTTATTAGCTCAAGGGATGAAATATGGTATGCATTTAATGACAAAAAAACTTCACAGTTTAAATGACGTCCTCAATATTTGTAAAAATCATACAGTACCTGAAAGACGCATATCAACAACAAAGGCCAGAACTACTGCAAGAGGTAGTCCAATAAAGTCATAACTAATGAGGTTTATGATAACACCTATTCTTTGTTGTCCACAGCCGCGTACAATACCACTACACACACCCTAAAGAAGAGACAAAATCGAAAATGCTCTCTGTTAAGAATACAGAAACCCAATTAAAGCTAACCAAATAGTAAACATTAATGTAACAAGTCATGCAATATCTGATACAGGGCCGTAGCCAGACTAAATTGCTTACTGAGACAAATGAGCGTGGTGAAGGCAGGATCAATGGGGGAGGGGGGAGGTTGAAATTTTTAAAATTGAGATCCTTGGAAATGAGATTTCCAGAGTTTTGAGGGACATTTGTGACATTTTACTGAGGCAACTGCCTTCGTGCCTCGTAATGGCTACAGCCCTGAGATATCTATCATCTTTATACACCCATTTTCTTTACCATCCACCCAACATTCCATCACATCAAATATCTAGCAAATCTCCTCCGCACAACTTATAACCAGCCTGCCACTAACTCCTTCCATCCAATCCTACCAATTAAGTACTTCCAATCTTTTAAGTATCAACCGCAATTTAATCTTAAAGCTTACCTGTGTTGCATCAAAGAATGATAAAACAGCCATAATTGGAATAGTTCTGATGAGAATTTCAATGACTTCCCTGAAAGTATAAAGCCCACTATTAATAATGATAATGATGATGATGATTATGATGATGATAACTTTATTTCTGTGTCAGTAAATATAGCAGTTGCCCTAAGTAAGGACACCTACACTGTATCTACAGCTATCTACTCACAACAAAAAGTGAGAATAAATAAATAAATAAATAAATGTGTAAAACTGAAACTGTTTTTTTCGTGGTTAGATAAGGGTTGTTGGAATAAATTGTATTTGTAAACCTATGCTTCCAATATAATTCCGCATCATCACTGATGTTGTTGTAGTAAATTTTCTTTGAACACTAAGAAGTATATTCAAATTCAGGGCACGGCTAATTAACAAATGAGGGAGGAGATTTCAACCAGAGAACCTGGAGAAAAACCCATTGCAACAAACTCTACTGAATAAGTCCGAAACATCAGTAAGTTTTTCATCATTACTGTTTCATTAGAAACACCGACGCAGCTCACACTAGTTTTTAGCTAGTTATATCTTCAAAGTTGTATGTATGTATGTAAGTGCATATCATACCAGAGAACCCTGAGGTGAGAGGTTTGAACAGTACTGCTACGGCACCTTTGATTACTGATATGCATTCACCTTAACATCTTGCACAGATACATGCTGTAATACCTACCCACTATTAGAGAATGCCATTGCTATATACTTCCTTGTAGTTACAATGACCAATATTATCAGGGAGACGCATAGTACTAAACAAAGGAAAAATATATAGGATTTAAAAAATATTGAGAAATAAGATGTTCTGTGGAATCTATATACGTACAGTCAGGACAAAATGTGGCAAATATAACCCTTATCTCAGTTGAGCTTGCAGCCAAATGGTATCATAATTGATTGTACATCAAGGTGAGGCTATAGGGTCGAGCTCACAATAAATTGCAAAAACGACCATGTAAAGCATATATGTAGTTTGTTTCATAGGAAAACTTGCAGTTCATATCATATCCAGAGAGAAGTCCACTAATCTGAGATTGGTTTTTCTTGAAATTCATTGCGAGCTCTACCCAATAGCCTCATTTCATTTAGAATACCTCTGGGCTGCAGGCTCAACCACAGTAATTTTATCCCCAAGGTATCCYATAATCCATTGAGTACGTGTAAAACAAACGTCATTCTCACTGCTTGCTGCTGTTCCTCATATACACATTCTATTTCAATTTTATCCCAAAGGAATCCATCGATGCATTTCATTTTCACTGTGGACCAAAGTCCTGCTTCAATCAAATTTGGTTTCTGCATGTAATGAACCTTTTTTATGAGGGCCGGTTATCAGCCCTCATAAGCCCAACTCTCAACCTGGAGGACCAGTGGGATCACTCTTCTTCTGGCCCTTATCCTACCCTTAGACCTGTCTGGCATGGGTGGCCCCACCAGGAGTACACTACTTCCACTGGCATAGCTCCAGGGGTTATTGGAACACACAAACCGCCTCACCACATTAAGGTGGTGATCCTGATCAAGACAGACTACAGACTAATCACTATGTTGTCCCATAATACATTATGTTGTTATGCTATGGAACTCGGCATTCCGTTATCCTCTCCATACTTACATGTTAGTCCAATGGACAACTTCATGACTAGTTTTGCCAGAGAGGGTTTATTAGCTCCAAGATTATGTCCTATACGTACGGCAGCTGCTGTGGACATTCCATATGGTACCTGCAAATGTAATTATTATTCATTGAAATAGTAAAAGCTAAGCTTTTCTTTATCTTACTCGGAAATCTATTTTGGAATTTAGAAATTGATTTTTAAGGAGAAATAAAAACAAGAGAAATGAATAAATGCTAAAGCTGAAACTAGAAATCAAACAGCTCCTTTCATATTGCTACGCACTGATTGGGACAACAATCGAGACAGGGTAATTGCCCTAATTCACTATGATGTCACTGCTTGTTTATGAGGGGGATAGAATCGCCAAATCCAATAGAAAATTCAACAAAATTTGCTCCTAGCGAAACAGTTTAATCTAAAATGGTCTGGTTTTCAGATATAATATGTGTTAATATGTACTAAAAAATATTCTGAGAGTTTGCTGGCTATTCTACTTCTCTTCATGGATTGATGCAGGTTTTAGAACAATTTTTGGTGAATTTGCGTGGATTTGACCCCATCCGACAACCATGATCCTTTGTGTTTAAACAATAGATTGCTGAAGATTGTTTTGATGTGACGTCATAGTGAATTAGTGGCAATTGGGCGATACACTTCAGTCAATCAAATAAATTGGTTGGTACCTTTTACTGTATATTCTCTGATTGGTGGCAGTGTATTACCCTATTTCCCTGTTGCGACTGTTGTCTCGCTCAGCGCATAGCAGTGAAAAGAGTGGTAATATCAGAGTCTGAAAGTGTTCTGATAGTAATAGGGAATCAAGAGTGCACAGGGGTAACACTCTCTCCTCTCACCACTCACTGGGGTCTCTGGTTCAATAGGCCATTTGCAGCAATTGATCACGTGTCAATTTGCCCCATAGCAACAAGCCCGTGGTGGGCAAGCTAACCACGCATTCCTTGACAACAATAAGACTTTGAGTGGCGAAGCTTAGCGATACTAAGACTATACTGACTGTTTTTAACCTTTGTTCTGTCTGGTTTGACCCGATATTCCGTATAAAGTTGAAAGAAGTGATTTTTTATCGTTGGCGATAATTTTTATCATAAAGATTGGCCGCAAAAGAGAGTTTTTTGTCTTTATTCTGGTCGCCGTGGACAGAAGACGCGTGTGCAAATGGCGGAATTCTCAGGTATGTTTATGACTCATTCAAACCCCGATTTAACATCAAAATTTCTCTTCAATTGTCAAGATTTTTTTGAAATGAATGTAGATATACCTACAGATCCTCTTATACTAATAAAAACTCATATTTGCTAGCATTTGAGGCCTGATTTTCGTTTTAAAACTTGAGGTGTGATATCTTCGCCGACTGCTGGCGGCAACAATTTATAGACTGTTTTTGTGCTTAAAATGCTTCTCGAATTTAATTTATCTTTGAATCACATGTGAGTAGAGTTTGTTATGTCTACCTTGATTCAAGGGTTTTTCTCCAGGTTCTATAGACTTCCTCCACAAAGCCTACCAGGCTAAATTCCAATCTGATTTGTTAGTAGGCTGTGCCCTGACTTAGATCAGCCCAGAGGTTGTTTAGGGTAATCCATAGAAATTGATGGTTTATTTCAAAGCACTTTGACTAGCTTACCATGAATGTCAAGGTTACTAACTGTATGAGAACTCCATGTGAAGCTAGTGTACTTTCACCAAATTTACCTGCAAAAATCAAAAAATAAGAATGTACACAAACCCTATAAAGAATTATTATTATTATTATTATATTATTTTTTATTTTATTTATTCATTTATTTATTTAGAACCCTTGCACTATATCCCTACCTGGGGGTCAAAACAATTGAAAGTATAAACACCATAAAAGATTTCAATTCTCAGGAGATTGGAATTATTTTCAGTGTTTTGTCCCCCAGATTGAGTTGCTTTGACGTCACATGCAAGGGGTCAAAGCAATAGAACATATTAACATCATCAAAGATTTCCATCCTCAGGAGAAGGGAATTCTTTTATTTTGACCCCCAAATTGAGCTGCTTTGACATCACATGCAAGGGGTGTATTGCTGAACAGCAGATTTGCTTGCACTTTAGCAGCTGAGCACCAATTGTTCAGTTGACCCTGGTTTGAGGTATTGATTATCCACCAACCTGGGTCACTTTTCATCAGTTGTTGTAGATCGTTATCAACCTTGGTCATTTGGTCATGAATGGTCTTGTTTTTAGATAACTGAACGTTGAGCAATCCCACATGGTCAAATTGATCACTCAATGGATCACCACAAGTCAAATTTGATCGATCAGTGCTAGTGCTCAACTATTGCCTACCCTCCTGAACATCATCCTCTTACCCATTAAGAAAGCACCAGCTTCAAAGCTCCACCATTCCAGGCAGATCATGAGCATTCCAGGAAGAGCTAACCAAATAAATTCTTTCCACTTATAAAGACACTCACAAGACCAACCTGTGGGTCATAAAACATCAATGTGTTACCTTATGCAGGAAACACTGCACATGAACAGGCAATCCTCTACTATCAATATTCTTACAAATAAACATTTTGTAAATAATCTTTATAACCTACCCATCCAAGTTTTTTTATAAACCTTTGAAAATATTATATATGCCATTGTTAAAAACAGGTTACAGTAAAAGACAATGACTAAAGAGATCGCAACACCCCTGAAATAAAAAAAAAAATTACAATAACTACAACACACCTTCGAAATTATAGTCTAAATGGAATGGAAAAGGTTAACAATAATAATAATAATAATAATAATAACAATCATCCTGTCGTTGTCATTGTCGTCGTCCTCATCACTAATCATGTTCACCAATAACAGCATTTTAGTTTCAAGCAGCTGGAAGCCAAGTTATAATGCATTCTTCTGTAGGTTGATACCAAAATGTATAAAATGAAAATGGTTAATGAAGGTTTTGCTGCATGCTGCATATGGCATAATTCATGTTGCATACCAAGCTGTTAATGCATCATGAATCATAATATGCAAATATTAAAGTTTTGGCAAATTCCATATTGTTGTGACCTTTCACTGATGGCATTCACGTTGCCAGTTAAGTGAAATAGACCTCCTTTGCTCTGACGTAATGTTTTCCCATTTCAGACCACATGTCATTCCCTAGAGTATCATTTCTTTGTTTAAGGTTTGCACTCAGTTGCACATGAGAAGACACATGAATATGGATACAACTCAAACAAAGAACATTATTCTCAAGGGAATGACACATGGTCTAAATAAAATGGGACAACATAACGCCAAGCCGAGGAGGTCTATATGGGCTTGTACTATGCAACATGCAACAATCAGCTGTATAAATAATTTTCTTACCATAATCCTTGTTTCATTACAATAACAAAAAGAAAGTTCAGTCCAAGAGCAATAGCATTGCTGACAAATCCTATTATGAGAGTAGGTCTTACGATACCCTGAGAACTCAGGTATCGTGTGAGGAGTGAACTCCCAAAGAGAGCCTAAACAAGACAAAACAGCAATGATGAACAGTCCTAGAAAGTGTCTCTACCAGTACCATTGGGTGGATCCCCTGGCTCGAGCCATTCTAATATATACCTATTTGAAAAATCGTTGTTGCAACCAAGAGCAAGCAACAAGCCAAGACCGCAGAGAACGTCAGTACTTTTAATTATGATCACATTTATTCATGGTTCATGCAAGTGGCTATAGCTCTACACCAATTGTTATCTCAAGCAGCCTTGCTTGGAGCAATTTGTGAAGTCAATATAAATGAAAATACACCATGAATAAACTAATTACAGCWAAAAGTACCGGTGTTCTCTGCAGTCTTGGCTTGTTGCTTGAGGCTTTTGGTGCGACAACGATTTCTGAAATAGGTGTATACTACAGAAACTACTGACACATATACTCACAGGAAGAATGGGAATCAAGATCATCACAAACTTATCAACCATCCTGCATGACAACAACACAAACTAGCATGAATACACGATAAGCATTAAAAACTTTCATTTTCAGGATAGCAACACAGTCACCAATTCCTGCATCACCAATATTATTAGTGGGCAATCTTATAAGACATGAATGAATTCCCCATATTTGTGCTAGCCATAGGTATAAATCATATTGTATTGTGTTACGGTCACCACAAAGTTCGGACAATGTTCTCGGATTCCAATACAAATGTACTGGCTTTTGAACGAATAATTTAACTTCTTTGTTTATCTGTTTCTCTAAGGAGAAGTAAGAAAAGCTTTTAAACAAGTTAGGAAAATGATATTTTGCTTGTATTTAGGGAGCTAACTTATTACAAACCAAGTAAATAATTTGTTTCAAAAGTCAGTACATTCATAAGAGGCTATGCCTTGTCTGATTCGCTTCCTTCATGGTTAGCAACCTCCTCTATGCACCCAAAACTCGATGGATGCATGCTAATCAATGTCCAATCCTTTAATCATCACCTCACCTTGATATTTCTTGTTCAATCCCAATAGCAAGTAGAAAATGTTCTGTTGTTATCCAGAAAGCATAAACAAAGATCGCAGCAATACCCAGAATACAGATGCCTCTTTGCAATACTATCCCAACCATTTTAAAATTTTTTGCACCATAGGCTTGGGAGCAAAGTGTATCGAGAGCTGAACACAATCCAATTGCAATGGAAAACCCAAATACATTGAAGAATGAAATTCCAAGTGTCCCAGCGGCAAGCTCCAATTTACCAATTTGACCACAGAAGAAGATACTTTGGGTAGATAGTGTAGCAATAAAAAGATGTGTAAATACTGTTGGCCATGCAAGTCTGTATATTTCACATAATTCCGTTTTTGTATCTTCTGATATTAATCTTGTACAACAAGATTTTTTATCTGTCGATTAAAAAAATGGAGTTTAAATAGATGATTAAAAGAAAAAGAATTGGTTCTTTTATGGCTTATGGGAATCCTGTGGACAGGACCTGTGAATTATGGAGATGTGGACAGGAAAGATTGAAATGAGAGATGAGAATCTGAAAGTAAAAAGGGGAGTAACATTATCATTCTTTCATTTTTCTTCTCCTCCTCTCCTTCTTGTTTCATCTTTTATTTCTTCTCGGCCCCATTCTCTTTTTCCCCCCGGACCCATTCTTATTCCCTTCTACTATACAGCAATCCCAAAAGTAGTTGTGGGTGTTTAGAAGAAGCTAGTTCCTTCAATGTTTTAACTATAGTAGATAGCTGACTTTGCTCTATTGGAAGTATGTGTTCAAAGTTCCCTCCCTTAAGTGCCTATCACCCTTCTGACAATATTCACAGTATTGATTCTACATGAAGTAAGATATTGGATAATCCAAAAAAAATTATAGTTTGAGTGCGGCTTCTTGAAGTTATAAAGCATTATCAGCATTAGTATATGGCATGGAAAAACATTTATAACTCATATCAGCTTGATGATGATTCAGGGTTCAAAAAAAATTGACATTTGACAAAAATCTTTTCAAGTTCTAACATATATACATGTATATTGAGTGCAAACCATATTATATCCATGAAATAAACTAACTAATAATTAGTACAAAACAGCACCAATGAAACAAATGAAAAACAAAAGAAATAGATGTGTTTATAGTGTTATTTAGTTTTTGTGCTATTGCAGGGATATATATACACCTACATGCAAGAACGTTGACATTTGAAAATAGAACATTAGTGATTTAGTGGGATAGGAATTATATTAAAAAACAAAAGAAGATCACTGAAGCTGAGCTTTTTCCTTTGTCTTTTAATGTATTTCCTTTCTCACTAAATTACTAATGTTCTAATATCGTTTGACAACGTTCTTGCAAGTAGGTGTATATAAACATATATAGTTTGCACTCTAGCTACCAGCTGCTGTACCTCCTATATATAAAAATTAATACTAGTGATCATGATCACTCACTAACATACCTGTATCTTCAAAGCTATGATCACCATGGTCCACCACATGAATCTGAATTTCATTGTCTTCCATTTTATCTGATGGTATACAATAATTCCCTACACGGCACACAATCAATTCACAAATTTATCAGTTGTATTAAAACAATTAACAATCAATTAATATAAGAGTGCAGCCTTTTGAAGCAGAAATAGCAGAAATGTAAAAATTTACCCTTTTGGAAATACTGTATGTTAAATAAAAACCGCTTCATGCATCATTTTACGACATCTCTGCTTGGATAAGCTTCTATATCACAAAGGTGATATTTATAGCGTTCCACTTGACCTTATTGGCTTTTATTTTACAGATCCTTACATATACATGATCCTGTATCAAATGCAATGTTCAAGTTGCTGTGATACAATATGTGTACATGTCTCAGTAGTCGACAACGAACTCGTTTCAGTACATTTACTAGAACGATTTCAGTTCAAAAAAAACCTTGAGTATTTCAGATCTCAAAATTTTTTCACACTCTATATAACATTTACATTACGATTACATTACGATTTTTTGATCACACGAGGCAACTTCTTTTTCTTGTACGAGTTACATAATGGCTTCGAAGTTTCGTAAGCTTATACCAAAACGTATGGGGAAAAAGAACACCGTATGCTCTCTGATCATTTTCAAGCTCAAAAGAGTATAATATATTTTAAGAATACTTATTATATGGACTATTCTCTCTGGGGGAAGATTTAATGGCAAATCGGAATCCAAATAAATCATAGAACAAAAAGATCAGTGTCAAGACTCGACTTAACATTTATTCACATTTTACAAACAATATAATGTGATCCTTACCTGTTAAGATGGTTCACCTGGATCTCTCAACTAAAGGCTTTCATTTTCATTTCAAAGGATAAAGTAAGAAAGAATATAATATAAAATTTCAGTGAAGTCAAAAGTGCGTTACGAACTCACCTGCCCCGATTACCCCCGAGCTGCCCCCGCGATCTGTTTATCGATCGGGAAAAGTTCGTCCCTGCCGACGAAGCTGCGAATTTAATCGGTTGCTAGTCGGGTCAGTTAAACAAGACGTAACTAATTCAGATTAAAAAAACGTTTAATTTTCTATACGAAAACAAAAAACAAAAAGAAAACTAATATACCCAAAACCATAACGAAAAGTAATTATTACAATAAACCCTTTACTTTTATTCTGCTTAGGCTTTTTTAATTCGCGCGATGGCTTGCACCTCGAGCTCACTAAATCCTTCCCATCAACCACAGTGTGAGATCAATAAGACAAGAGAAGCGACTGGGTAAAAAAGCTTTATTTCATAATTAGAATAAAAGCTGGAATATGTTAGACTTGGGCTAGAGGAGAATAAGACAAAAAGAAAACATTACTATTTATACAGAGCCTGATCCAGATTTTTTCAAACAAGGTTGTGTTCATAGTCTAGAAGTAACATATTATGCGCGAGAGTTGAGAATTCTGTATCTAAATTTTAGGTGCAAACCTCGTTGTTTTAAGGGATAGGTCAAGTGAACTGTTCATGAAAATAGCCTGTAACTATTTTAGCTCTTGATCGAACTGAACTACGAGGTTATAATAAGGATTTTCCGAGTGTATTTTCACAAAGAAGTACGAGCTGAATTGATGATGAAGTTGTACATAAGTAAGTGTGGAAATAGTCTAGCAATATTCTTGAGGTTGCGAAGCATGGCGCTAGTTAAGTTACTGTGTGACACAAGCTATTGTTAACATCACAATGCCAACCTAGTTACAAACGAAAATTAAGACTAAATCTGAGAATTACTTATTAGTGTTTCGGAACGCGTAAATTTTATAAGCCATGACACTTCAATCGGCTATTCTTGTGATAACGTTCATCAGAATCTGAGAAATAGACCCTTTTCGAATTAGTTGAATACCTGTGTTCCTTGATCACAGACTCATTTATACAGGCCTAGGGTTAGCCTCATTTCAGTGTCCAAATATTCACAAAATACCAATGGTAAAGTAAAGAATGCACAGCTTCAACTGTAAAAACACTTTGAAATTTCACGGAACCTTCACCGAAATGCATGAATATTCAAAGTAATTCCATACAAAATCGAGGCGAACTCTGTAGAGCGGATAATTCGAAACTGGAGTATTTGTACATGAATACTTTCGCCTACTTGTTCAACGTTTACATATATTATCACAGTCATGGATCATTTATCGTGGAAATATACAGGACATCATCCTGGCTGGGAGGATGTTGAATGTATATATCGAGACCACCATTGGTATACAGCTAATTGAAAAAACGTTGTCGGGTTCAAAAAAGGTTATATCATCAAAGCTAAGACCGAAGGGGAGCATGGGAAGCAGCCAAACAGCTTTCCAGCGCAAATCTTTGGAGAACGGCTTTGGCATGTTAATCTAAGTCGACCGACTTTGCTCTACTGTGCATTTTTACTTCTCTATATGCAAATATAATACACAATTCGGAGTACCCAAAATCCTTTTCGGTCTTAGCTTCGATGATATGACCTTCTCGAACCTGACGTTTTTTCAATTTGGTGTACACGCAGAGTCCAAGAAGCCATTCAGATCCGACTCCAGCCTAATAACATCAATAGGGACAGTGTTATATATGTGGATACCGGCAATAACAAAACACTCAGGATGGAGACATAACAACCAAACACAGCACAGATGTTCTGACAAGTGCTATATAACAGCTCCATTAACTATGGACAAACCATCAAGTCTACACCCTCGCCTGATGAAGACTAGCAGTTTGTAGTCGAAACGTCGCGGTCCTTCTATACAAATGACCCGCGTGAGACAAATGAATAAGTATCATTTTACAAAAATGATAGAGTACAAACACTATAAGTGTGTAACATAAATACCACTAGATACTGCTAAATTATGCTAATCCTATTGTTTTCTATTGTTTAATCAGCACTATTTACTACTAAATAGTGCAAAGTGTTGCACACTTTTAGCTACTTTTAGTGTTTGTACTCTACAACAATGTACGTCTATTGTAGGCTACACTTAATATGTACCGTATAAACTGTTGCACACTTTTAGTGTTTTTACTCTACAAAAACTACAAATTATTTTAAGGGCACTAAACGAATTATTATTACTGATTTTGAAATTGGTGCTAAATAAGATTCGAGAAAGACTTTCGAGGCATTAGTTTTGCCGATCAGCGTGTCGCTGCAACGCTATCCTCATGACGGATATTGCGAAATTCACGTCATCTTTAGTGATACACATTGGAGGTTTGATTCTGAATACCTGTGGACGAAGGAGCATGGATTGGTGAGGTATGTAACGTGTTGTTAGCGCTGATAAAACCGATAAACCAGGGGCGTTATCCAAGAATCTGAGAAAAAAAGGGGGGGCGTAAAAATTCGGTGTTAGACACATCACCGCTGACTGTGCAAAACAAGAACAGAAAGGGTCCGGGGATGTCCGGGGATATGTTTCCAGTGAAATTCTTAAAATATGTTTTCTTCCAGAAATGCAATTTCCTGAATTGTGGGACAGTTTTAAACGAAAAAATTAAGTTTCGAATGCACAGATTTAGAAAGTGAAAATACATTATCTATCATCAATGCTGCGAGTTCTAATTGAATGAGCTACTACTAGGCTATATAAGTTACATCCTACTAGTAGCGAAAAATGCTTCTTTGAACACCAAAACATTGAATTTAACTTTAATTGAAAATTTGCTTGCATTTATATATTTGACCTATTAGGTTGGATTTGACTAAAACAATTAGTCCTCTTGTTCTCATGGGCTATGAGTCAATAGCCCAGGCTTGAGGACTAATTGCTAGATATAGTACGTCAGGCAACCGTCGGATAAGCTTTTTCCCCATACTTTTTTCATATAAAAACAGTAAACTTCTTACAGAARCAGCATCATCAAAGAGTACAAAAACGTCATTTTCGTTTATTTTATTTTATTCCATTTTTTTCAGGTCCATACTCACATTTCCATGTAACCCTCCTTTTCCAAGCAGTAATCCCATATCCTTGCAATCTTCCCAGATTGGCACTATCTGGTCGGCTGGCATGGGTGTCTTTAATTCCTGTGGGAAAAAATTAACAGATGTCACACAACGCAATGAGTACGCTTGTTGCTTGTGTCTCTTAACCTTCCTTTTTATTCCTCACTTGTTTTGCCTCACTCTTTACAATGTCGCAATCTTCAATCGCAAAAAATCTCATGGCCTCTGGTTACCCCCTATTTATTGTTCGTTCTATGTATATTAGCACTTGTCAACAGGGTGTTTGTTACACTTTATCACACAGACAACATCTTTTAAGGCGCGTTTACACGGAGTAATTTTTTCTGCAATTTGTTTCGCAACATTTTTCGATTTGCGCTATAGGTTACACGCGGCAATGCTCCATGCAACTTGTGTGGTAACGCTGTTGCGAAACGAGTTAGAGAGAAAACTGCTCCGTGTAATCGCGCCTTCATTAGTGATAACTGGAACCGACTTGTGAGTTTCAAGTCAAAAGTACCAAAATATGCGGGTTTTTTTTTGTTTTTTTGTTTGTTTTTTTGTTGTTTTTTTTTTGTCAAGATATTTTTTAAAAATGGCTCTGAAAATTAATATTTAGATGCCGGTCTTAAAACTAGTTTGCTACGATTTCCTAAGAATTTGCTCAGCTCAGAGTTTGTTTCAGGAATAGATACTAAAAATCGACGTTTTTGAAGATTAAATATGGCTGATTATCAACAGTTCCTTACCGGGTCAGTCACCATTTCCATTCCCGTCATCAATCCTTTTCCTCTTACGTCTCCTACAAATCCTGGAAACTCTTTTTGGAGTTTGAGTGCTTCTTCAAGAAGATAAGTTCCCACTACATTACAATTTTCTTGTAGCTTGTCGCTATCGATTGCCTGGGAATAGTAAGTAAAATAGTAAGAAAAGCAAATGATAATTGTATAATTAACGTCAACGTTCATTAAGTTGGTGTTAATCAACTTAATCTCTTTCATTACACAACAACATGGCCATCATTACATTAGTCTTGTCTCTCTCATTTTGCAAATCGGTCTGGCGTGCAAAGCCATGGGCCTCTTTTTTTTGCTTGGGAGATTGAGAAAGCACTTCCGACGAAGTAAAATATAATTATTTTAACACTAGCTGATAGAGCGATAGCCGAGGAAGGTGCTGTTGTTTCGACTATAGATTGTTTTACCATGCACTCCATACTAATGGACGGAGTAAAATGGCTTATAAGGCGCAGCACTTAAAGTGTTTTTTTTGTCATAATTGATACCAACCTCCAGAACTGCTTTTCCTACTGCAGATGCAACTGGATTCCCTCCATAAGTATTGAAATAAACCGACTGTGCAAAGCTGGCAGAGATTTCTAAGCACCGATAAAGAAAGCAAGTAGGGTTTTGTTATTTGAATACCATATGTTATTATTAGCAGCACCACCAACAGCAACAGCAGCGACAACAACAGCAGCAACAGTAGCAGTAACAACAGCAACAACAGTAGCAGTAACACCAGCAATAACCACAACAACAGCAGCAGCAGCAACAACAACGACAGCAACAGCAACAACAGTAGCAGTAACAACAGCAACAACAGCAGTAGCAACAGCAGCAATAACCACAACAACAACAGCAGCAGCAACAACAGCGACAGCAACAGCAGCAATAACAACAAACTAATGGTGTTTGTATTTAATCACGCTATATTTGATATTACATTCAAGGCCGTAGCCTGTAGGGGGAGGGGGCGGGCCAGACCAGGGCCAGGCCCCCCTTTGTGGCAACAAAATGGCCCCCTTTTAGATTTCATACGGTAATTCCAGTTTTTCTTGGTAAAAATAAAACATAAAATGTAAACGTTGGATTTTACCTGGAGTAGTTATAACAGCTCCCATGGGATAGCCATTACCGATACCCTTCGCCAACGTTACTATGACAACATAACAAAACATAAACATTGATCAGTTTGACTAGGAATAAAGCGAGAACCAAATGATTCAGTATCCATCTACACACCAATATCTGGCATGACATCGTTTGCTTCAAATCCCCAATAGTGGCTTCCAAGACGACCAAATCCGGTCTGGACCTGATTTAAAAAATTTTGCATGGTGTGACATCTCTCTCACAACTCTATATTGCATGTAATGTTGTGTGCAATGTTGCATGGTGTGACATCTGTATCACAACTCTATTGCATGCAATGTTGTGAGCAATGTTGTATGGTGTGACATCTCTCTCACAACTCTATTGCATGTAATGTTGTGCACAATGTTACATGGTGTGACATCTCTATC